ACACGTTCAATGTTCAAGACATTCAAAACTCTCCTCTGTCCACCTCCACCACTCACCTCCTCATTAACTGCTGATGATTTTGCTAACTTTTCACTAACAAAACTACAACTGTCAGAAGTCAGTTTTCAGCTTCACACACACAGAAGCCCAGACCAACCTCTCCCACAGCCAACAACCTTCTTTCCTCCTTCACTCCACTAACTGAGGAAGAAGTAACTAAACATCTCCTCTCCAGTCATCCTACCACCTGCCCTAGACCCCATCCCCTCACACCTTCTACAAACAATCTCTCCTACACTTCTTCCAGCTCTCACACACGGTCACATCATAGACAGTAAAAGAAATGGACAGAGCGATCTCATTGGAACTCCATTGAGACAATTGAAGCCCGTTTTTGGCGATTTTTAAGCACTTCCGTCCCTGACGCGCAGACTCAAACAGAACTTGACTACGTAGTGGGACGTGAGTGACCCGTCTGTCTTCTAGTGCTGTGGCATGAGAAATCTGAATCATTCCCTTCCGAAACATGCAGAGGCGGAGAGTGTGAATAGGAGCTGTCAATGAGCTAGGAGAAGGAGACACTTTTGCTACTGTAGGTATTCTGATTAATTATTTTGTCATTTTGCCTCCACATTTCCCCGATTGCGCGCAAGCTTCTTCTCCTGTTCATACGGTAATCTCTCTACTGTGCGACAGAGAGCCGCGTGGGTATGACGCAGTCGTTGGCTTACTTTCACAAAAACTGCTTCTACGGGGCCATAACATAAGCTACAAGGTAATGGAGCATTTTATACATTGTCGTGTTTCTTTAGAAATAAATAAAGGACAAATGGGGTCTTCAAACACTTCAGATGTAAAGTTATTCGCTGTCAAAGTGACGCCAAAATGAATGGGTCAATGGGAATGCTAACGCAAGTGAAGTTCTGCTACAAGATGTCAGCTCCTGCGAGGCTTCAACTTCCGGTCGATGGATTACCCCCTTGGGTCACATGCCTGTCCTGTCTTCTTCTTCTTCTTCTTCATTTGGCGGTTGGCAACTATTTCTTGTGCATTACCGCCACCACAGGACTGGAGTAAGGCATAGGAGCTACTGTCTTATTCTTTACTATTATTAAAAAACAAAATATACCAGCAATTTCATACACTGTAAAAAAATATTGTTGGTTAACTTAAAAAAGTAAGTAACCTGGTTGCCTTAAATTTTTAAGTTCATTGAACTGGAAAAAGTAAGATTTAATCATCAGAAACTCAAAATTAAATGTTATCTGAACTAAATAAATTATTTAAGTTGATTTGACAAAAGAAAAAATGTTGTGATTACTACACTGTAAAAAAATATTGTTGGTTTAACTTAAAAAAGTAAGTAACCTGGTTGCCTTCAAATTTTAAGTTGATTGAACTGGAAAAAGTGAGTTAATACAATGAAGGAGATTAATTTAATCATCTGAAACTCAAAATAATAAGTTATCTCAACTAAATAAACTATTATAAAGTTGATTTGACAAAAGAAAATATGTTGTGATAACAAATCTTGAAAATATTTTTTACAGTGTAATTATTGATAAAAAAACTTTATTCGTATATCCTTTTTAAAAGGCCTGTACTTTTCAAAAAAGAAAATAAGAGATCAAAATTCTCCCTTGAACTTCTGTTCAATACTGTTTTAGTTTCTAAAGACATTTTCTTTGCTTTCAACATAGCCTTTGCCTTGCTTCATTGTATTTCTGACAGTACATTATTACATGCTCTACTGTTTCAGGTATATTACTCTGGCAATACTCACAATTTCCATCTACATGCTTTTTTATTAAAAACATTGTACTATTCAACTTTGTATGACCCAACCTCATCCTAGTCAGCACAATTTCTTCCTGTCTTGATCTGGTTATGTGTGTTTCTTTTCCCACTTTCCCTTGTATCCTATATAGATGTCTTCCTGAGCACCCATTATCCCAGATATGTTGCCACTTTTTAATAGTTTTAGCCTTAATTATGCTTTTTATCTCTGCTTTACTGTACTTTACATCTATATCTATATTGCTTTTATCTGTTACTCTCTTTGCATGCTCATCGGCCATTTCGTTACCTTCCACTCCTATATGGGCTGGAACCCATACGAATGTCACCCTTCATCCTGATGCTTGTATTCCATTTGCTAGCTGTAAAATTTCAATTAAAATATCTTCCCTTGAATCAGACCAATAGTTCTGAATACTGTACATTGCTGAACTTGAATCAGAGGCAATTACTGCCTGTAGACAATTATACACTGCTAGGTCATCATTTATCCTTTTTGCCAGTGCTATGCCCATCTCAGGAATTACATAAGCTACCCTATACTCTCTTCTCAGTGTTTTTAGATGCATCTGTAAAAACCTTTACACACTCTTTGTATTTTCCTGTTAAATAGTTGCTTACCCCATACTTATCCACTCCATCTTTCTTCCTTACTTCCAATAGTCCCAAATCAACCTTCAATTCTTGAAACATCCACGGAGGCACGATTGGATATGTCACTGTTGGGCAGATGTTCAAAGATCCAATTCCCATGTTATTCACCTTATCTTTTATGACCCACCCACATGCCTGTCCTGTCTTGTCTTGCACTTGGGTGTTTGTTGTTTTGTACCACGTGTTCTCTTGTCATTGTATACCCCGCCCATCTTGTTATCTCATTATTGGTTCATTTGCCCCACCTGTCTGTTCATTAGCCTCCTTTGTTTGCCTCTCTATCTCCTTGTGTTCTCAGTACTGGGCTGGTTTGTTCTGTCACGGAACGGGAAAAAGGTGTGAGGACTCAAGCGCAAACAATGGGTATTTATTAAGAAAATAATAAAACAAAACAAGAACAAAAACTCCCTTGTGGGGGAAAACTAGATAGAAAACAGGCAGGATACAAGATACACTTAAACAAGATTAAAGGACAACTCCGGCGAACAATGAACCTTTGGTCTAATAAAACATCGGTACATAGTCAACCGTTCTCTGAGATTTGTTTTCATGATAATCGAATGTAAAGAGTTTTATTTTTAAAAACTGTTTAGCGTATAATGCTAGTAATGGGGGCATTGACTAAGTAAAATGAAATCGCTAGTTTATACCACTAACAAGGCTCAAAATAGCCCCACACTAACGCAGTAACATAATGAGGCTCCATACATGCAAAACGAAGCATTGAGAACTTTGTAAGTGTACAGACTGTTTAATAAGAAGATACTTTATGAAGACAGTTCACTTCGAGTATACAGACAGGAGCCATCTTAAAAAATAGTCTCGATAACTCAAACCACGAACGTCGTGCTGTGTGATCTGAACTTCAGCGAACTTCTGAACTGTATGAACGGCGTTCGGGGATCGATTTATCGAGACTATTTTTTAAGATGGCTCCTGTCTGTATACGCGAAGTGAACTGTCTTCATAAAGTATCTTCTTATTAAACGGTCTGTACACTTACAAAGTTCTCAAAGCTTCATTTTGCATGTATGGAGCCTCATTATGTTAGTGTGGGGCTATTTTGAGCCTTGTTAGTGGTATAAACTAGCGATTTTTTTTTATTTAGTCAATGCCCCCATTACTAGCATTATACGCTAAACAGTTTTTAGAGACAAAACTCTTTACATTTGATTATCATGAAAACAAAACTCAGAGAACGATTGACTAGATACTGATGCTTTATTAGACCAAAGGTTCATTGTTCGCCGGAGTTCTCCTTTAACATGAACCAGGGTAACACGGACAACAAACTACTGTTAACCTTCAAATGGTCTTCGTTTCCTGTTCACACTTCTGGGCTTCGGAGTCTATACGACAAAAATATACATTTTTAATCATACAAATAATACTTTTTGTATTAAAAAAATTTATTATTTTAATATAAATAAAATATATCATCTACTCATCTATTCATTAATGCTGTGTTTTATATATAATACTTTTGTATCCATATACCACAATTCCTCAACTACACCTTTAGCTTGCATATGAAATATTATTTTTTATGATACATTGCATTTATGCTCTAGTAGTAGGCCTTCATTTCTGTGTAAAAATTTTCAGATTTATGCCAGATTTTTTTTTTCTAACCCTAATTTTTTTTCACATTTCCCATTCATTTCACTGTGGGGTCATATTGACCCCGAAGTCCAGAAGTGTGATTTTTGTTTTTAAAATACCTTCAGAACAACGAATAAAGCACAGTTTGTGTGTGTGTGTATAGATAGATAATGTATGAAAAGTCACAAAATCTTATTCCACTGAGATGAAGGGAACCTTTTTTTTTATTATTAAGTAAAAGTCGATTGGGGTCGTATAGACCCCATGACCCGCTAGAGGGCTACAGAAATCCACACAAATCTTAAAGACACTCATGATCAATCACTAAAAGCAAGTTTTGACCTCCAAAATAAACTCCAATGTTAAACGACCCTCAATAGAACCACTGGCCAGTTATCTATTTATTAAACGTTTTAAAGAAAGACAAATCCTCTCCAAATACAGATTAAGAGACCATGATCTAGAGAGAGGAAGACATAGACATGGACAGAGAGGGAGCAGAGGAACTGTAGACACAGTGATCTGGATGAGGAACACTTTCTGCTCTTCTGTCCCAAATATAACAATACAAGACAAACTTTTCTGGCCAGATTTGAAACCTTGGTTCTATCATTCTTTGAACTGAGTGACACTGAAAAAAGTACTTCTTACTCGGAGAAAATGACAGTACAGCTGCACTAGCAAATATGTGCTAGCTATTCACAACACCAGAGACAGCTAATTCATTCCAATAGAGCTAATTTGAATTGAATTGAATTAATTCTCTATTGACCCAATGTATTTATTTATTACGATTTATAAATAGCCTACATATGACATGATTTATTATAGCCTACTTGTTTTACTTGCTGCTTTGGCAACATCGTGTTACACACACTCTCTCTCTCTCAAATTTGAAATTGAGAGAGAGAGAGAGAGAGAGAGAGAGAGAGAGAGAGAGAGAGAGAGAGAGAGAGATGGGCGTGTAGGCGCTACAGGAGGACTCGTCTGTTTTCTTCTCATCTTCAGAAATATTGATGTGCGAAATGCGTTTTACACGGAAACTGTGGACGATATGCACCATAAGCGTTCTCTTGATATTCTACAAAACGACAGATATTGGCAGGAATGAAGTGCATAAGAGAACTGGATTGACAGGGTAAGGGCTCTTCTGCTGTTACTGCACATCTATACTGAACGTCGAAGTCTGTGTGTGTCTCAGAACTAGGCATTCATTTATGCTGATCTATTTATTCTTTTTTTTTTTTTTTTTTATCGTATTCAAGCTCACGTGCCATGCTGTTATTCCGCAGATTGATTCGCGATTCGTCTTTTGTTTGAGTTTAAAACTAAAGGCCGTTTTATTCTTACATACCCAATCACTTCACAATCCAGTAGCACCTCAATGCAGAACATGAGATCCAATCATGTTTTAATAACATTACAAAAGTTTCAAAATGGCATTAAAGTATTTTATAAAATAGCCTATATAGTTATAAATACATGTTTCTCTACATTCAGCACTTGAACCTCATTTCAATGACAATAGAAGTAATTATGAAATTACAGATGTGGGTCAAATAGCCTTACTTTTATTTATTTTTAAATATAATGCTGTTTCATTACATTAAAATAACATGCAATTATGTGTGTGAAACATCATTACAATCAGTTTGCACTTCATCCAAATAAGTAAGCAAAAGTAGGCCTATATACTCTTTATGGTAAAGCAAACTTTTCTCAAAGCCTATAGCTAAGAATAGCTTCTTTTTTAAATACATTTTGCTGTCATTGACAAATGTGATGCCTTTTTTACAGTAAAATTTAAATGAAGAATTACCCAAACATAAGTAGGCCTAGTGTCAAATGGGGTGTTTTTGTAGGCTTTTGAAATTATGTAATGCATTTATTTGATTTTAGATTAATGTTTTAAGTTTAAAAAGCAAGGTGTTATTCACTGAAGAACTTGCTCTTGTTTTGTTTCAGGAACTATGAAAAATGTGGTCAAGTTCATACTTGCTGATATGCCACGCTTCACATCATGATCATGAGTTGATGGTTTGAGTTCCGTGCCAAAACATCATACACATTTCGAAATAGAGGCTACTTTGTTTGTGATTTGGCTCTGACGTGTGTGTGTGTGTGTGTGTGTGTGTGTGTGTGTGTGTGTGTGTGTGTGTACGTGCGTGTATGTGAGAGTTGTGTGCGGTTAGGTAAGTGAGAGGACAGCAGACTGCTTTTGCTCATTAGATGTGGTTTCCTTCTGTTTCATGCAAAGTTGCTGCACATGGTTAAAACAGAAGTGGAAAAAAAGACCAACAGTAAATGTCAACTGCTTTTGAGTTTCGATTTTCACGAGATACAATCGTTTGGCGTTTGTGCAGAGACAGTCTGCTCATTTGCAAACTGCAGATTTGTACAATCAACCAAACTCGTGTTCACAGTAACTTTTCCCTCACAAAAAATAATGAAAATAAGTTGTTATCTTAAGTGAAAAGTTCCAGAAGAATATGTGGTTTCTGTTTGAAATGTTTCTGTGTAAAATCATTCACAAAATTTTAAATAAAAATAAAGTTTATTTTTGTTACCCCGTTGCTTCCAAAATATCTTGATTCAAAAATTTTTTAATATCTGTTGCTCTAATGAAAAACTCAAAAATACTGAGACCTTTTTGCAGTGTATTGCTGTAACGGATGAAGCGGATATGGATCTAAACAAAAGCTGAATGTATTAACAAGACTAAAACAAGACTCAGGAACACAGGAACCCAATATAACAGAATCTTTCAAAACCATAGACAAAGGAAAACAAGACAACTGAAACAGAGAGCTTTAAACATATACGGAGAGTGAGAACAAGAAACAGATGTGCAGGGTTATATCCTATGGTTATATCATTAGCTAAAACTGAAACTAAAACCATAAAAAAAAACTTTCACTACTTGAAATACTGAAATAAAAAAATGAAAAACTGAAATTTTCAGCAAGTTCATCCAGTGGCCATGACAGCATTTTTATTTTTGTTGAGTTGAACTACTGATTTAGTAGAGTTGATTTACTCATTTAGTATTTGCGGTTCTATGAATATGCAAATGAGCCCCATCTCCACTCACTCAGCCCAGAGATTCACTTGTTTACGATCGCACTTTGATCTGATTGGTTACAAGGTAGTGTGTGACATCAGAAACACCAGTGATTTTAAACCATGTTTTTGAGACTTTACTTCACTTTGGTTTTAAGCAGAAAATACACAGCAATGCTGTTGACTTAAGTCTTACTTATAGATGTATAAAATGCCAAAAATCCACTACAAAATGAATAAAACTTTCAATAAAATTAAAACAGATAAAAAAAATCAAATTTAATTCAAATGATTAGCAAAAACTATTATACATAGTATATCAACTATACTAAAATAACTGATGTGTACAATCAGAATAAATAAACAAAACAAGAACACAGGAAAAGGGAATGAAATTAATACAAAGTTAGAGTCTAGAAACTCTAGACGGCACAGGCTGATTGGTCCTTCACTCAATCTGCTTGTAATTTGATCATTCTAGGGCACAACTGATTGGTTCCTGTTGTTTCAGCAGCCAATGAGCTCACGGCTCAACCTCAAATACTCGCTCAGCATTTGCTACAGCAGTGCAGCGCTTTCAGAAACCCTCCTCCTTCCCCAGCTCCACCTGTATAGATCTGCTACGGGTAATTCACATATGCTGTATCGTTGGGGTTGGAACGACTTCAGGTATTTTTCAAAGTCAACATTTATGTTTTGAAAGTCGACGTTGACCAGTCGGGGATGACATCATTGATGACAAAATAAGCCTGAACCTTGAGTTGAGACTCACACGTGGTTTGCCTTGCGCACACATATGGCATACGACACACCGCTCACAGAACCGCTTATTTATCAGTTCTTTTGTCTTTGGGTCGTTATATTTCTCACAGATTTCTGCTCGTTCTCAATCAGATACAGATAAAGTAGAACAGGAAGATTACAGGTAAATTAGATTACTGGTAAAAACACTTTACAATAAGGTTCATTAGTTAACTTTAGTTACTAACATGAGCAATACATTGATACAGCAATGCACAATTACAACTAACCAAAAGCAATACATTTGTTACTATATTTGTTAATCTTTGTTAACGTTAGTTAATAAAAATACGGTTATTCATTGTTTGTTCATGTTAGTTTACAGTGCATTAACTAATATTTTAATAATCAATGTATTAGTAAATTATGAAACTAACATTAACAAAGATTAATAAATGCTGTATAACTGCAGTTCATAATTAGTTCATGCTAATTAATGTAGTTAACTAATGAACCTTATTGTAAAGTGTTACCAGATTACATTTATATGAATGCATTAGTGAAAGAGAGTGCGATTGCGTGTGACTTGCGCCTCAGCTTTCCTCTGTACACAGTTTAATCGTTTTTTCTTTCATGGGGATTTTAACGCACACATATGGTCTGGCCACGACGCACTTTCCAGAGTTTCTGAATTTGATCAACTCGTTAGATCTGAGATAATGGGTTAAAGTTAGGCCATATATTAGATCTGGTTTTATCATATAACTTGCACACTCAGGACACTGTGATTTGATTAAGTAATATTTTTTTCTGACCACAAGCAGGTGTTTTTTTCAATGTATATTTGTTAGGAACTGAGGCCACTGTCTAAAAAAATGGATTGGAAAAATAACCCCTATGACTAATGTTGTGTTTGCAGTGTAATATAGAAGTGTCACGGTTTGGTTTGTTCTTGTCATGTTCTTGTCATGTGGCGCCCTGTATTTGTCATGTGATCCTGCCATGTGTCTTGTCATTGGTTAATCTCTGTTCATTGTTTACAGATGATTTACTTTCATGCAATTGATAAATAAACTGCACTTGGGTTCTCTCTACAACTTGCCTTCAGTGGATCTTTACAAGAAGTCGTTGTGAATCAACTTTATCTGAAACTTTTTCTATCTCTTTAAATGTTGATGAACATCTGAAGCAATTTGATTCCACCTTGTCTGAAAATTTGGACACTATTGCTTCTTTTAAAGCTATGAATTGTAAGCCAAACTCTCGCCATGGTTAAATGAAACGGTCCGTACTCTTAGATGACTTGTTTGGCAAGTGAAAAGGAGACATTATGACATCTTTAGAGAATCTCTGCTAGCATTTCAGAAGGCTTCGAAAAATGCAAAACAATTTATACTGATGTGATCTCTCGCAATGCAAATAGGCCTACAATTCTATTTGCTACTATAAATTCAGCTATTAACCCTGCTCAAAGTCTGTACCCGGATCCCTCTATTTTAAGTTGCATATTTTCTTAAAGCTTTTTCAATGGGAACGCTCCAATATACCGCAATTACCGACGGCATCTGTACCCTTTGTTATGTGGATGTAGGAGATGAACCCAAATGCAGGCAGAGTGCGATGAAACTGAGGTTTATTGGTAACAAACAACTACAAAACCCACGAGGGGGCAAAACAGAACTGAAGGGCTGAATACCAAGACAAGGAAAATAAAGTAAACTAGAACAGGATACAGACTTGATGACTAGGAAATGAGAATAAACAGCTATTCAAAGCACAACTCTTAACACAAGATACAGACTAGTACTCACAGATTGCGACACACAATGTTTGACACAAAGTTTTACAATGAACCAGCCCAGGACAGCAAACACAAGGGGATTATCCACAAGTTTCCTACGCCCCATGAGGCCTTGCGTCAAAAGTGGGCGCGTCTTCCGGTTGGAAGTAAACAAAGCGCGACTTGACATACTTCACACTCGTTCATTCAACAGTTGACAGTCATTCAAGTTATAGCGATCCAAACTAGCTAACGATGTGGGAACACAACCTCAACGAAATTCAAAAGGGTGAAATAACAGTACCTTTACCCTCCGCAGTAGTTGGTTGGGAGTATTATAATAACATTATTAATAATCAATACTCATCAAGGCATGGCGACAGACAGTTGTGCGAGCTGACAAACAATTAAAATAAAAAATACACACTTATTCATTGTGCTTTGGAGTTTATTCAAAATTATAAATGAATGTGCTGCTTGAATACATTAACTGACACATTTGGTATTCTGTCAACACAGGCTTTGATCCTGAGTTTAGCTGTAACATCAGTAGCGAACAGCCAAACACATGCTGATAGAGTTTATAGAATATTAAGAATTTAATGAATTTAATATTAAGAATTCTATATGAATGGGTTTGATTACATGAGCACAGTGTTGAACCCAATGCCAGTCTCAGTACTGGTGCATATTCTGTAGTCACTATGCCAAACCCTGCTTCTGTTTGGACAGGAACTCTAGGGCGATCAGCACTCGACTGATGGCCAACGGCTCCGAGATGCTCTTCGGCAGTGCTGTCAGTGACCTGAGTGACCCGGGAGCGGATTGGAGGCTGAACACCACCCTTGTGACCATGATCAGGTGAGGAACCTGCACTAAATAAAAAAAAGGTTTTGTTAGGTAATCTAAAAATGCACTTAATGTGACACTTGTACGTTAATCATAGGCATAGAGTCCAGAGGGATGAGTCCCTCGTAGTGTTCAGAGGTTTTGTCAGTGTCTGTACTTTTTTTGATGAGTAAGGATTAATGGCGTAAGTTTATGAGCGGTGATATCATGCAGGGAGTCTGACATCTGACTGGACCAAAGATGGATCTTGATGTTGATTCAGATCAAGTTCAATATCTGTAAAGGTCATCAATTTTGAAACGGTTTCAATTCTTTTGTAAAGCTCTGCAGAAAACAGCTCAGTTCAACTCTCATACAACAGTGCCAGTGCAGTCGGATCAATAATACTGTTGAATATTAAGTGTCCTCAACTAAACAAGCGACAGTGGCAAGACCCCAAACTTCATCAGGGACAGAAATGGAGAGGAAAACCTTGGAAAAAACCAGGACCAGTTCATCTCTGGCCAAAGTAACCAGTCTGGTGTGCTTTTGATTCAGGCTGCAACACAAGTCAGATTGTCTATAACTCAGAGCAGGACATAGGTTCCCTTTTAGTGTATTCTTTTGCAAGCTAGTATGGTTATGATAACCCGTTCTCATCCCAAAGTGTCATATACTGACGCTTTTGACATTTCGTCCACAAAAAAAGTGTCTCCCTTTAGTGTCAATATGAGACGCGGCTATATACTGTATGGGCCAGAAGGCGCCTCCTAGTGGTCAACCCTAACCCTACCCCAGACCTAAACCTACCCATAACCGAACGAAGCTCTGTGTGTGTGTGTGTGTGTATTGACGCTAAAGGGTGCCATGTGCGTTGGAATCAGATGAAATTTCAAAAGCATCACTATATGACGACCTAGGATGAGAATGCGTTGGTTATGAACTAATGAGAAATGTCAGCATTAGTCTGTAATCTTGTCTTTTTTATCTGTTTCAACACATGGAAAGGAAGGACATACTTCGCTTCTTGGATGCGGAGCGAGATGTGTCTGTTATCAAGAGCGGTTTTAAGCCGGGCGACACGTACCACTACGTTCTGGACAGACGCAGGACCTTCAATGTTTCTCAGACTCTATACAGTTTACTTCCCGAAGTCTCTCCTCTGAAGAACAAGACGTTCAGGACATGTGCTGTGGTGGGAAACTCAGGCAGCCTCCTGAAGAGCGGATGTGGGAAGGAAATAGATAAGCATGATTTTGTTATACGGTAATGCATTTCCTCCTTTGCAGTAATTGAATCATTACCGTCTTATGGCAAGGCAGACTCTATTAGGGTTTAAATGGCCATTTATCTCTCATTGTATCCGTGTTTTCACCCTGTCTTCACCTTAAATCACATTTTTGGAAACCTGAACCAGGGTCAAAAGATTAACGTCTTTATAACGTTAGTATTATTGATAAGCTATTGTAGAGTTTTTAATATTTGGATTTATTTTAATAAATAGATTTTATTTTTGTATATTTTTTGTTTTTATCAAAGGTTTAGTAATTTCGCTGTGCTTTTGCCATTTTAAAGTGTGTGTGTGTGTATATATATATATATATATATATTGCACTTCAATTTCTCAACAAAAATTAGACATTTTGCATTGGCCAACTGAAATGAAATAATTTGACAATTTTATATTTTATTTCATTCTAGTTTGTTTTATTGCAATTAATGAGAAGGACTTTCTTTTAAATGATTATTAAGTTTTATTTAACAACAACAAATAAGCAATCACCATAAAAGTTGTATGTACGACTTGTGCTCTATAATTCAATTCTTCAGTAGCCAAACTATAGCTTTGTTTGATGAACATACTTTGAAGTAATTATCACAGATAATCTTTCCTTCAAATTTCATCACTCACTTTTCCTCCAGAGAGCTTCTCTTCTCTTATATCCAAATCCTTTAATTTTTCAGTAAATCTCTCCATTTTAGACTTCACATTCATGACTGCCTCTTTGTCTTTGCGCTTCCACATTCACCATTTCTCACCTTCAAAAAATTGGGCACTTCTCAATTCCATTACAAATCTGGGAAAAGCCACGATATTTAGGAATAGTTCACCCAAAAATGAAAACTCTGTCATTAATTTCTCTCCCTCATGTCGGTCCAAACCCGTAAGACTTCCGTTCGTCTTTGAAACACAAATGAAGATATTTTTGATGAAATCTGAGAGGTTTCTGTCCCTCCATTGACAGAACACCGTTGCGCAACTTGCACTTTGTTGTTTATCAAAAACAAACGTAATACATAATTGTAGCCTATTTTACTCTCACTTTTGTCAGTCAGGCACAAAGAGAAGTGATGCAAGAGATGCACAGCCTGTCTGCCCAGCTAGGTGGTCAGCAAGACCGAAAAAACACAATAGAAATGCACATAAACTTAACTTTACTTTGCTGACTGACATCAAACTTGGAGAGGAGAGAACACAAGTTTACCTAAATGTTGTTCCCGCAATTCACTCTCATGTTTTTTCTTCTTTCTCTTAGCGTGACCAGAGGGATAGTTTCGCTTCATTTTGTCAATATTAATTGACGCGCTATGACACGAGGAGGGGGAGGCGGGGCCTTGAGTAATTTGCGGGGCCCTACGCAGCTTGCGTAGTGAGCGTATAGGGCGGATCGGCTCTGTTGACAGCTACACAACTACCACCTGACGCTTCAAAAGTTCAATAAAGAGATTGTAAAACAAATCAAATCCATATGAATCGAGCGGTTAATTCCAATTTTTCTGAAGAGACTCGATCGCTTTATATTATGAACAGATTTAATTTAGGGTTTTATTCACATGATTGAAACTTTGATCAACAAACATAAACCTGTCTGAGCTTCCGTTTACCACCATAAATGCCTAAATTAAATACAGTATAAAGGGATCATGTCTCTTCAGAGAATTTGGAGTAAATTTGGACCCTTTAATATAATAACCCTGATTGTGTTCGGCTGGCAGAAGAAAGTCATACACCCAGGATGGCTTGAGGGTCAGTAAATCATGGGATAATTTCATTTTTGGATGAAAACCCCTTTATGATTCACATGGTTGAAATGTGATTTTGACCTCAGTCCACATTATTAAAAAGCAGTGACATCTGTGTTTATAAAATAAAGTGAGGCATATGTAATACGTATAATCTCATTTCCCACCGGTTTTCTGTGGTTCTCGCGCAGATGTAACCTCGCTCCTCTAGAGCAATTTGCAGAAGACGTGGGTTTGAGGTCGGACTTCACCACCATGAATCCGTCAGTGGTCGGGCGGGTGTACGGAGGTCTCCGGGACGAAGCGGAGCGGGGGAAGCTCCTCCTGCGCTTGCGGCAGCTGAACAGCAGCGTGCTCTGGATCCCGGCCTTCATGGTGAAGGGCGGCGAGAGGCACGTCAACGCCGTCAACCAGCTTGTCCTCAAGCACAGCCTGAGGGTGCACATGGCCTATCCCTCGTTCCGTTTCATCCACGCTGTACGAAGGTGAGTTGAACATTTCAAACTTAATTACTCCGAACATTGTGTACACACACACACAGCCAGGGGTCAAGCCTCAAACAGATAGCTATCTCAGAGGCAGGCCAGGCAGCTCTCTCCAAAAGGCACACACATAAACAGATATTCCTTCATTGAAATCTGTAACTCATTCTGAAAAGAATACGATATATTCCTGCGCACCCATGTGTTGTATTATCATTTGAGTGTAATCATGACTTCTCTAGATGACTCTAATGACCTAATGTTTCAGACTGTGCATTCTATGGGTAACCAGAATCAGATGTGTGGCATATTTAGAAAGAATAATTATAAAGAATATTTATAAAGAACGGTGCTGTGCCGTCTATATTGGATCCAACTGGAATTGTGCAACACACGGACTCTGGGTCGAACATGTATGGGCGAATCATTCCGGTTGCCATTTTACAACATTGGATGTTTTCAAAACAATTTCCTCCACGTGCATCGAAAAAATATGGACGAAAATATGGACAAAGCGTCTGTGACGTCACCCATAGACTCTCTGAAGAACAGGTTTGAGGCTGTTTATGGGGGGTATGGGCGGCACCATGCTGGAAAATCTTGGGAAATACAAAATACAAAAGTTTCAGAAAGGATACAGAGGTGGTATGATGTGTTGTATCAGATCATGGCCGAGACGTCATCAGCTGTCAATCAAAGTAAACCGCCCTTATTTGTCATACATTTTATATCTAAATATGATCTAAACTAACGAGTTAGAAAAAAAATCACCCCCCTCACAGTTGTCAGGCACGCGGAACATATTGAAGATTACAATAAAAGTCTTTGGGACCAAACTGTAAACTGAATTTATGCTGTGAAAACGGATATTTTAACATGACGTTTATGGATATTTGCGCCCTTTTGGGACTGGCCTCTACGGATTTGAGATGTATTGCAGTTTTTCGCACTTCCGTGTAGGCTTCATCTTTCAGATTAGAATGTTGGCATCGACGAGTGAGTTGAAACTCATTATAATATGCAAAACTGTTATCCACTCACAGCAGTGGGCGTTTACTTCCAAGTCTTCAGTGTGAGACGCCCATAAAAGCCAAGCATTTTTGAGCTAGGCTGACTTCTTCATTTTGATGTTTTTGAATGTAAAAACCAAGTTCATGACCCCTTTAAGTTTTATTTTTCCTTTCGACTTTGTTCATTTCCCGAGACGGGTAAATGAACATAGCCTGAATTGTTTCTTTGGTAATTTACGTCAAAGACCTTTAAACCTTTTTCATTATATTCATTCATTGATTCTGTCTCTTGCTCATATACAGTACAAGTCTCTTTAATGTACGATCCAAAGTGCTTTAAAATTACTGTAGCTAGCAGGCTATCTTTGTAAAACAGGAAGGTGGTGTTCATGGCCAGAAATAGCCTTTCCTGTTAATCTCTGAGATTTCTGTGTGAGAATTGATACAGATCCTAAGAGTTGATATCCTTAGAGTTGATATATAATAGACCTAATTGATATATTAATATTTAATTATAATCCGTTTTGAATAAGTAGTGATATACAATTGAGCTCATTTTAACCTGTCTGTAAAATGTAGTCAACATTGACAATCAATTATAATCCTTTGTGGTTAATTTTCTGGGTGAATGAATGCAGATACAGGGAACATATTATCCCTTTTCGGTAGATTAAATAAATGTAAAGTTTTTTTTTAAATAAATGTAAATTATTAATTATTGTATAGATATTCCCCAAATTGACTAGTAATACTCAACAACTAGAAAAGGAAAGTTTGTCAAGACATACTAAAAAAGTGTAAAAAATTTGGAATTATTGAATTATTTTGAATCAAAGAGTCTCAAAAACACTGTGTGAAATCGCTGGTGTTTCTGACGTCACAAACTACCTTGTAACCAATCAGGGGTGTGTTTCTCGTACAACTATTTAGTTCGCTGCTTCACTACCATAGTACGATGCATCGTTGGAGAAATCAACTAGTCACGAATGTTTCCCGAATCCCATTGTCGCAAAGTATCGTTCAGCCACGTGGTTTCGCACGTGGTTAATAAAACTATTTGAGATCCAATTAACGCTAGATTTTTATATATATAAAATTACAGACATGTCATCTGAGGACTATTTCGAATTATTCTCAGTTATTTTGCTTTATTACCAGACTCAATATTTGGCTCGTTCATATATAGTAGAGCACGTTCGCACATGCGCACTCTTCAAAATCGGTACTTTAAAACTTTTGAAAAACTAAAAGGCGTAAATTCCATTTGTGTGTATTCTAAATAAAAGCCACTGTTAGTATTGAATGTCAGCTTGCTTATTTTGCTCAAGATAAGGATTTATTACCTCCCAATGTCATGCAATATAGAAACTATCCTTCAAACCACAGGTCGAGAGCTGTCATTCAAACCACACAACTTTGCGATGCTGTTTGTGAATGTTCGTTGGAACGATTTTTCCGAGAAACACCGACTCGTTGAACTATGCTGATAACGATGGAACTTGCGACCATAGTTGGCTAACGATGCTTTCGTAAAACGCACCCCTGATCAACGTGTGATCGTCAACATGTGGATCTCTGAGCTGAGTGAGTGGAGGCGGGGCTCATTTGCATATTCATAGAACCGTGTACACTAAATGAGGCAATAATGTCATTTTGGTGATCAAAGATGTGTTTTCAGGGATAAAATGATTGACTACAGGGGGACTTTAACAGATTAATATAAATGTATTGAACTATTAAACATTTTCAAACCACCATAATAATCATAATGTAAATGTTATTATACTTATTACTTAACAATGTATTTTTTTATCTCTTAGGTACTGGCTTACAAATAAGGTAAATATCAAACGACCCTCTACTGGACTGTTGATGTACACGATGGCTACACGCTTCTGTGATGAAATCCACCTGTATGGATTCTGGCCTTTTCCAAAAGACACCGCCGGAAATCCTGTTAATTATCATTACTATGACACACTAAAATATCGGTATTTTTCCAATGCGGGTCCCCACCGCATGCCACTGGAGTTCAGGACACTCAAAAGCCTGCACAACAGGGGTGCGCTGAAACTCACGACGTCGAGATGCTCGTATTCTTGATACGCAGCTCGCGGGCGAACACTGTGTTATGAGTTATGAGGAGTGTGCCTTTACTGAAAACTGTGACCCGCTCATCTTACGGGACTTTGGATTGGTTTACTATTGAAAATGTGCAATGTTTTAGAGACTGAATAATCTACTCTTGTTTCAAAATGACAGGCGAAACTTCGTGCTTTGGGTAACACTTTACTTGAAGGGGTGTTCATAAGACTGACATGACACCTTCATAATCATGACATGACTTAGCTTTATGGGTTAACATTACATACTGTCATGTGGTTGGTTTTGATATTGGCTGTCATGAGGCATTAACAGTGGTACACGTTGAATTTGTCATTAAAATGTTAAAATAATGGCTTCATGACAGCTAACGTCAAAACCAACCACCTGACAGTTTAATGTAATGTTAACCCAAAAAGCTAAGTGCTTTCTTAAGTTTGATAATTAAACTGCTATGGCATGTTTATGACATATTTATGACAGGTTGTGTTGTCTTAGTAATGTCAAATTGTCATTACAAAGACACTGACAGATTGGTTTATTTATGTCAAGTTGTATTTCTAAAGACATCTCAAACAATGGCCTATTTGCATTAAAAATGATGCTTAATGACAGTTGTCATAAACATGCATAAACCGTCCTTCATATTCATGACATGTGTCATGATTATGAAAGTGTCATGTCAGTCTTATGCACACCCCTTCAAGTAAAGTGTTACCGAACTTTGAGATATTACGGTCTCATGTGAAAATGTTTTACACTGAAGATGCCAAACACACTGTTTAAGAGATTGTTGTCTGTTTCTCTATACTGTATATTTTTTAGCATGTAGAAACATGATTATGTTTTAATTTATACAGAGATGATAGACTAAATGGCCTTCAAAACCCTCACATTTTAAAACTACTTCAAACTTGACTTTCTCAAGCCAACATCAAAGTTTGTTGTGATACTAATGATGTTTAATATCATACATGTACAGTTCCAATATTCTGTGTAAAACAAAACTGTGTAAAATATACATGTTATGAATGTGCTGTGGATTACGAAGCAGATCAAGCAAAGGGTCAAGTAACAAATTATTGTAAAATATCTTTTTTTATAAATTATGTTGAGTTCATAGGAACACATTTTCTGGTCCGGTGTCTATGAACCTTATCTTTACACCTAAAACTGACTGAATATATTACATGTATGTTGTCAAAGTCTTTTTTTTTAAACCAGTGTTTCTCAATCAAATGTACTGTACAGGGGTTGGACAAAAAAACTGAAACACCTGGTTTTACTACACAATAATTTGTTAGAATGGTGAGGGCCTCATTTTGCATCCAAATACAGCACCAATTGACAGATAGAAGTCCTTCACAGTGACCAGAGGGATTATGAGCCGTTCCTCTTCCAGAACAGTGTCCAGGTCACTATATGATGCTGGTGGACTCGCTCCTCCAAAACACCTCAATAATATTCAGATCTGGTGACTGTCAGACCATGGGAGATGTTCAACGTCACTTTCATCTTCATCAAACCCTTCTGTCACAAGTCTTGCTGTGTGTGTTGGTGCATGATCATGCTGATACACGGTTTGAGCATCAGGTGCTCATGATCCTCCAGAAGGGTTTGGTAGTCCTCGGCAGTGTCGTGTCCATCAAATACAATCAGGGTTGTCATGATATTGGAGCTCAAACCATCACTGATCCACCCGTGCTTCACTCTGAAGATTGGCCGCCAGGCATATAGATGTGAAACCTCCAACATTGGCCAGTGTTTCAGTTTCATTGTCCAACCCCTGTATGTCATAATGTGTTGGCATGCGTGAAACAGATTGTTCAGGATAGTTTTGTTTTCTACTTTAATGTTCTTTTTTATCTTTTATTTATGTTGTAATTTTTAAACAAATGCTGGGTGCATTTCTAAGTGTTTTTATACTGTTTACATTGCTGTAATTTTTTTGGAAAGCCTTTAATGGTGATTTCATTTTGCCAAATTTCTATGTGTAAATATATTTTATACAAAAATCAAAAAATCGATTTGAATTTTTTGACACCTCGGATTACTTGATTTCTGATTGGCCTACATTTCAAATATTTTGAAATATTGCAATATAATCATTCTAACCTATACAAACCATTTCCACCACAGTTCTCATAATAATGACTTCCAAGTTTTATACGAACTGTTCTGGTAATAATGACTTGTCGTACTGTAACTAGCCCTGTGTGTTGGTCTGGCTGTCCATCCATGGTGTTTCCCTGCCTGTGACCCGAGACACGGACACACTCCAGCACCCCTGGGACACGCCGTTTGGGAATTGGTTAACAGGATTTTGGTGATCGCATGGCAAATCTTCTATAAAAAGTCTAAGAATAAAAACCCAATCACATTTTCAGCTATTTTAAAATAGAATATGAATTTAAGTGAAAGGGATTCATTCCTTTTATATATTTGAATACAGTTTTTCTACACTGTAAAAAAATATCGTTGGTTTAACTTAAAAAAAATGAAGTAACATGGCTGCCTTAAAAATTCAAGTTCATTGAAATGGAAAAATTGAGTTAATACAATGATTTAATCATCAGAAACTTAAAATATTATGTTATCTGAACTATATAAGTTATTTAAGTTGATTTGACAAAAGAAATTATGTTTTTTTACAGTGTACATTCGCAGAAGCGCTGCATGCATGTGCATCATGTGACGATGTAGGAATCCTTATGTTCTGCTATTTGCACATGTAAAACTGTATAGTCACGAAACGTATTACAAGAACATCTTATGTGAGGTAGAAAATAAAGCAAGTCTGTATTTTGGCAAGCTTTCCTGTAGCATAGGATATTAACATGGAATACAAGCACTTAAATGAACAGACTATATCAAATTCTTAGCTAATCATTAGGGAATATATACACTTGGTCACTTTCAATGTTTCACCGATCAGACAGCTATCCAATCATCAAGTGTTAATGCATTTGAGATGGTCAGCAATCCAAGAAGTGATCCTAGTTTTGTAATAATTCTTATGCAACTGTTAACTGGAACTGAAAACAATACAAAAAGCCAGAAATATATCCTTATTTATACAAAGAATAGGAAAAAATCATAATATTGCCATACAAATAGTACAAATAAGCCAAGACAAAGCAGTAAGACATTTTACTGCGGGTTATATAAAAATGACTAAATGAAATGGAACTGATCTATACAGCAAAAACCAAGAACGTGTATTATGTACAATAGCAGCGGCGGCGACTTCACACCAGTTAGCAAATCCTGTAACATCATCAGAACTGAAATATGTGACAGAAAGGTTTACAGGAATACAGGCCTGAATGCAAAGAAACACATTACAACAATGCGTAAGTGGAACTAAAACAACATTATGATAAATTACAATATGTATAAATGAAAGAGAAAAAAGTTCAATGGGAACAAATAATTAATTCTTAAGCTCTATATAACATAAGCTTGTGTTTATGGTGTGTGGCCGAGGTCTGATGCTGATGCCTTAATTCTGTATGTACATTTTAGTATGAATTATGCTTCTACTCTATGCTTCTGGCAGCCGTCATAGCGCAGCAGGAACTGTACAGTGTCTGGTTGCCATGGCAGCTTCATGCGCTCCTGCTGCTCTGCTGAATATTACCACTTGAATATTATATATGGAGTTACACTTATTTTAGGTTTTATCATGAGTAGTCATCAGCTAAGTCCCTAAAAAATGAAGATGAAATTATTGTTATTGTCAAATTGTATATGTTAAACAAATGCAGCACTTCAAAACCAATCTCTAGATCACTTCAACATATATTTATCATCTTATTTAACATCTTATTACTTACAACTGATCTTTCTGGTTTTGTGTTTCAATGCCAGTGTGGTGTGACACAGTACGTCTGTTTACAAGGCATAGTATCTTCACCATCACCTTCACCGCTAAACTTGTTGCAAAACACCTCGTGATAAGATCTGTCTTGTTCACATTCTCGTTTCCTCAGGTGGGCGACTCATGTAGTCTTGAATTGCTTGATGCAATGGCAGCCATTTTCCTATTGAAGATTTTATTGCACTAATCCATCTAGGGAAACAGTAGAGAAAAGGATCATGTTAATTCATCAGTATGATTTCTTCTGATTCCTGCCAATTCATTGCTGTTGATGATGACAGACATACCCTGACAGCAAAATAGTGTCGGCCCAGATCTGGGCCGTGTGGAATTCATGTGTACCGGATGTGGGCTGGATCTGGGCTGACACTATATGCATGCAAATTTCACAAAATATTATTCGTTAAAAACAATCGTTTCATATGGATTTTCTGAAGCTACAATATTGTGTCACTTATAAATCATCATAGTTTCAACCATTGAAACATTAATAAAGCACCACCCACACTGTTATTTTAACACGAATGTTGTATTCAGTAACTTGGCCCACCTTGATAAAGACAGTGTGGACTATCAGGTATGAAAGATACACTTGTTACCAGAGCCTTTCTAGCTTTTCATAGGTTTTGGGGAACAGTTCTTCATTAAAAAAGTTGATATACTATAAATTGTCTTTCCCTGCAGTAGAGAGTCATTCACAATCTACAGGCAATAAAGTGCTTCTCCATCGCTAAAAAACGATAGGAGACATTTGCATGTTTAATCTCCTACAGTGGACTGTAGGAAAATACAGCATATATGTAGCCGAAATATCATCCTTACCTTGTGCTTTTATTTCTGTCTGATAAAGCATCATGTTACTATTTCAGTGTGAGAAACCAAATTATTCGGTTTCAATCCCGTTGAACCGTTCAATACAGTGATTCATTCGTGAATCTGGTATTGCTAGTTCAGATTCTGAATAGCTGATAGCAAACATATGACATGATTGCTGAAATATTGCCAAGGAAAAGAACTCTCGGGTCAGTATATTAAATCATCAAACATCAGACAAGCATTTATCATTAATATTTTATTGAGGTCTATAGGGGATTATCACGCTTCCGGGTTTCATGGGCGGGATTTGTCAACTTTGTGCATGTCCACTTCCGACGCAGTTCAACAATGGCTGAAACGAAGGCTAGATGTCTCTGCTCTGTTCCACTTTGTAAATCTAACCAACAACGCCAACCCTACTTAAGTTTTCATGGATTCCCGACTGAATTTAGTATAAGGAAGAAGTGGATTGAAACAGTTCGCCGGGATAAAGGTCCAAACTTCAAAACAAACTAATTTACCAGGGATGCCATATAAATAAACTTAGTGTAATCCGTCATGAGTTCGCCAGCGGATCGGTGATTAAACGCAAGTGGCAGTGCGCAAAGATCACTGAATCCGGAAGTACTACATATCAGCGTGATAATTCCCTATTGACGCACCTGCTTGGTCCAAGACCAAGATTTTCTTGATCAGGCCCACATCTGTTACACGTGGATTCAACACGGCCCAGATGAGGGCTGAAAACGTCTAGGTTACGACTGTAACCCTGGTTCCTTGTGAAAGGGAACGACACATAGCGTCTTCGTATTTATGCTATGGCGAATGCCATCAGCATGACCGGTGTCAGAGGCCCTTGCAAACAAACAGCGATAGTCATTGGCAGATGGCAATCAATGACGTCACACGCGGAGCGCCCATGAATATAAAGGGATGCCTGAGTTACACATCATTAACTCTTCTGCCGAGCCCGAGGTTTGGCAACGAGACGCGGCATCTCGTTCCTCTTCTCAGGGAACTAGTCGTACAGTCGTACCTTTCGAAGTGGAACTTGGACTCTGTGTTGTGGTATTGACACTATGGGAAAACAATACCCGCTACGCCAGGGTTCCCCAAACTCGGTCCTGGAGGGCCACTGTCCCTGCAGAGTTTAGCTCTAACCCTGATGAAACACACCTACCTGTGAGTTTCTACTGATCCATTAGACCATGATTAGCTTGCTCAGGTGTGTTTGATCAGGTTCGAGCTAAACCGAGGGAACCCTGCACTACGCCATGCTGAGGGAAGGCCTGCCTCACTATAGGCTGTGAATCCTATGCACAAACATAGTGGGCACAGCATAACATGACTCTACAAATTACTCAGCCTGAGTCAAAAGCATGTCAACCCAATGGGAACATCCCATGTGACTCACATGGTGCACTACTCCCTAAGCCAATAGTCCTAGACACCGGGAAATATCACCCAGGTGCCAAGGCAAGTCCCGGCTGTAGCCATTTCCGGCCCCAAGAGAAGAGCTCAAAGGAGAAAATCCCAACAGCCTCAGCTTATGTCAGGCAAATCCTACCAGTATTTTGACAAAAGGATCAGCCTACTGAAGGGAGCATTCCCAGAAAGCAACATAGTGTCTTCTCTGATCCGGCCCACATCTGGTTTCCACACGGGCCCGATGTGGGCCAGATCTGGGCCGACCACAACTACAACCTTTGGTACTACCACATCTATAGAAGCACTTCACCAAATGGGAGGATACATCCCTTCTTCACGACCCACAACAGTTGGGCAGGGAAGTAAACGAAACAGATGGGCTCCTGTGAATTGCCAATCATTCTGTTCTGTTCCCCTTACACTACCCAACTTGAGCAGCTTTCTACAGGGAGCATACAATGGGCTAAGCCCCTCAGTATAGACAGTATAGGCACTGCCTTCACACTCCAGTACTGCTACTCATCCAAGGGTATACATATTCGCCCTTACTCAGGAAAAGCAAAAGCAAACGTTTAGCCAATAACTCTCCTCACCCAGGCTCAAACCCCAGGGAAGCGGCAGGGTAAGGGAGCGTGACCTACTTCAAGACTCCAGTTTAACGGGAGAGAGCAGCTCATGCCCTGTCTTGCTTGAAAACACCTAAGACTGAGTTTAGGCTCAAAGCTTTTGATTTGATCATTTTATGCACTTTAGTTAAAAGGAATGCACTTTTGCTAACAGCCACACTAATTCTTTGCAATAAACAATTACACGGTGTTGTCTGGCTTGTGGATTGTCAATTTTAAAAAAGAATTTTGATTCAAAGCCCTATTTGTTAGAAAGATTCAAATTATTATTGTCTACATCTGTATTGCTATTGGTGCAAGAAAGATTGACAAGCTCGACTTCATGAAAAAAACCTGTTTGCCATTTTCTAAACTTTTTTTGTTTAATCTTTTTGTACTATTTATTTTGTCTAAGAATATGGCATTACTGAACATTTTTTAAAATCTAGTTCATTACCGTTTGTTCTCATTTGCGTTCTCTGCACAGAGGGTGAACACTTTGAACTCATCAGATGGAGGTCTGAGCTCAATCGTGGATCTTTTGGAGCCCAGCGGCTGATCCCTCACCGTGTAACCGTGCAAGTAGATCCCTCCTACAATCAGACACACAGAGCTATTAGCATAGCATAGCAAGCTACTAAAATAAAATAAAAATAAAAATAAATTTGCCAACTATTAACAAGAAATGCTTGAAGAAAATAAATAAAACTGTTTGTTTAATATATCCTAATCAAAAGAGAATAATTTGCACGTCTCCAGGCTGTGACTAAAGGTAAAATCATATTAGCATTTGAGTTATTTGTGCTGGATTACAAACTGGTTGTTGATGTGACAATTTAAACACTGTAAGATACACATTCACAACAGAGCTTTGTAGCAATGAATATTAAAGTCATTAATATTTTTAAAAAAGTGGAAAGGACCGTAAAAGGAGAAGTTTGTTTGGGAGTAAAAGGAGTCGTTTGTTTGGGAGAAGTTTGTTTGGGAGTAAAACTCAAAGGAAGGAGACGTGGACTGTGTAAAAATTTAGAAGCACTTTTATATCCATGTGAAACTTCATTTTAAAACTGATCCACAAAATTTAATATGAGCATGGATAAACATGCTCTTGATCAACTCTCTAATTTGGCAACTAAAAGAAAACAGTTTTGTAAAATGTTTCACTTCAGGATCCATTGGCTCCCTAGTCATTTTATTTATTTATCTGGAGCCCTACTTTATGAAGAGATAATTCACATGTGATTTTGTTTCATTAGCAGTCGTGTAACAAAATGACGGTTCAAACCACTGCGCATCCCAGACGTACCGATGGCACAGGTTGAGCGAATGCTCGTATAGAAATAGAGGCATCCATCTTTCAGCACACAGTAGTGCTGCACCCACGAGTCCTTGCTCCGGTCCAGCTGGTGGAGCAGCCCGAGGCACTCTGGGGTCTTCACGGCCAGCGGGGGCAGGTTTGAGTTGTGCCGCGTGACGTCCACCCACACGTGATTCTGCCTCAACAATCACCATCATTAGCATTACTACCATAACAGCATCAGTCTCAATCAGTCAATGGGATTCTGTTTAGCAAGATTTATTAATTGATCATGTGTATTTACATTAACAGAGCTGTCAAGAAGAATGAAATACCAATGGTATGTGTAATAATACCACAGCAAATTCTATGTACACAAATGATTGGGAAGTTACCTGAGTAATGGGATGAACAGCTCGACCCATAGCCTCCAGCCACCTGAGAAACAAACAAGTACAAACTGCTTATTTCAAGTTAGTTGTAATTTGCCAGATGGCTTTTAGTGCGTACGTTATTAATCGCCTTACATTAAACGCCTTAATCCATTGGACAGCACAGCATTAGTTCCAATTTACAATTTGAATTAACACAAAATATATATCCAGTACTAGGGGAAAAAAACAAACAAAAACCGTGCAATTTAACTAATAAGCTCACTAATTTTAATCACTGCCATAATAATGGTTTGTAAGGCTGCAATGACCACGCCACTTAAATTACACATCTGACACATCTGATGACATTAGAAATGAGTATTGTGAAAAGCACCATACATCATACTGATTTGAATTTAGAAATAAATGAGAATATAAATAAATATACATTTACTTTGATGCAAACGGTCACTAATATATTAAGATATTATTTTTTTTTTTACATCTTGATATGGGTTAATTTTGTCTTCCTGCACTGGCAAATTCAAAAACACGTTAAATACGATTAAGTGAAAAAGTCTGCTAGTGCAGTGACACAAAATACACATTTATTGCAGTATGTCTTTTAAACAAAGTCTAAATTTCATATGCAGTTTCTTATTTGATTAAAGTTGAAAAAAAATGTGCACGCTCTCATTAATAAGGTTTTATTAATCAAAAATGTTGACAAAGTTATATCTTTAAAGGAGCCGTATGCAAGATTGTGGCCAAAACTGGTACTGCAATCACTTTCAAATTACTGTAGAGCGGTGTAAACCCCCCTTGACTCGAGGTTGCCAGATATGCTGCGGGATCCAGAAAGAACGTAGCTGCTACAAGAAGCTTCCAATGGCAAGTGATAAGTCTTACACCCTGAGTTTTTTAAGTGTTCTGTTGTGGGATGGGATGTTATAATGACATAAATAGTAGTTTTCACTTATTTCCAACATCAGAGCCACTGAAAACACAGTGGATGTATTGTATTTTTGGAAGTTTAAGTGGCGCCTTTCCTTCGTAAATAAGTTTATGTTTGAGCGAATCATTTTCTGACTGACTGTTTTGTGAACGAGGGTCAATTCAAAGCAGGTCTTGCTTCAAAGTTAATCCTCAACTGTAGATCGTCGTCTACTGTTTGCGATCCAACGTCACCTCCAGTAAGTGTAAGTTATGATTTTTGAGCAATTTCAGTCGATGTCAGCCAATTCAACAACAAATGCGTCTAAAGTTGTTGTCATCGTAGGATGTTAGTTTATATAATTTAAACCTTGTTTGTAAAGTGTGTAACCACACGTTTATAAATATATATTTTTAAAGATATTGTATTAAAAACTGCATATATGTTGTTCTTCTGTAAGTTAGCCATCTTCTCACATTTGCCACAGAAGCACCTGTATGACAAGTAATGTAAACATGACGCAACTGGTCCCTCGAATAAATGTAATTTCGCTTGTATGTAGCAAATTTATCACAGTATGCGTATGTAGTTTCAAAAAATTGTGCCAATGTTAGTGTTTGTGTGTGTCTGTGTGTTTGTGTGTGTGTGTGTTGCACATTCATATTTCAAAGGAGACGCGATTACAACTCTATAAGTACATAAATGTATCAAATAAGCATACCGAGACGTACTGGTCCATTCTCATTTGTGTTTATTCTTCCAAAGTCTCTTCGTCATCTGGGTCTGATCAGAGACTATTTATATATTCTGATTCAAACATGTACGGCTGAATGACATACAAAACAGCGGGTCTCTCGCTCTCAGCCCAGACTGCCATAGGCATGCAAGTGACACCCTCATCCAAAGGCAGGGCGGGGATATGGAGCTCATTTGCATTTAAGGTGGTATACACCAAAACAGCTCATTTTAAAACAGGCCCCAAAAATGACATTTTAAAATGGTTATAATAAATTAACTGTGGGGTATTTTGAGCTGAAACTTCACAAATACATTCTGGGGACACCCAAGACCAATATTACATCTTGTAAAAAGGGGCATAATAGGTGCCCTTTAATGTCTAGTGACATATCAGGGAAAATGTATGATTAACTGAAATAAATTTCTTGCATACAGCCCCTTTAAAAAAAAAAAAAATAAAATAAAAAAAAAAAATTCTTAATTTCAGAAAGCACTGCATGTTCTCACCTTTTCATCTCTTGGTTTGATGTAGCATACAAGTAGTAAACTCTGTTCCCAGAGACAGGGCAGCATCTGAACACAAACGGCTTTCCTAAACTGGTGTCGGCCTCCACCTGCGCCCCTTCCAGACTCACCGCAGCCAAAGCTCGGCTCTTCCCTTCATCCTGCAGAGAAGAGGGAGGAAAACTTACTGCACGTTCAGCTTTTCCAGGTTCAACCCTTCTGGATAAAACAGAAAACTGAACGTACACGCTTGTTTCTGTAGTAGTAGAGGCAGCAGTCGTGTCGGAGCACAAACCATCTCTTCCTCCAGCCCTTCAGCAAACTGGACTGAGTCCGCTTATGCAAGTAACCCCTGCATGTTGGCCGTGGGGTGTTCGGCGCTCGACCGATATCCGAGCCAATTGTCAGAGTTAATATGTCAGGGCCTTTAAACATAATTTTGTGTTACATTTCTTTCACATGATTTAAGTTATACAATAGCATCTGCTATTTTGCTCAGTTATGTTGAGCTCCAGCATGATTTCGCTCAAAGGCTGGAATACACTACATAACTTTTCAAATCTGAATAGTTATCAAAGTGGGCAAGCCATGTAATGCCAGAATTAAGGCTAATAACGGCTGAATGCAAACAAAAGAATAATTAGATATAAAAAGAACAATGAAGATTAGTTTTCATACCCGGGAGAGGTGTGAAAGGTTTGTCGAGTGTGAACAATAGAAACGTGAATGGGACAGTTCGCCACACTAGACATAGACAATAGAGTGCAAGTGGGTGTTTACAAGCAAATAAAATATTATTTATATTAGCATATTATCAGCCTTCTCTAAAATCTCACATGGCATGGTCTTAGAAAATGTTTCATAGTTTAAGAGACAACATCCTAAGATTCTAAATGAAGAATCTTCAGCTTCATTGTGTTTGCTACACAACATCCACGCCATATTTTTATACATTTAACATGTATATTGTTAATATATATATATATATTTTTATGTTTAAGATTATATATCTTATTATAGATAATAGTCTTAAACTGTAAACAACAGATTTACCAACGCATGAGTGTGCCTCCAGATATTCCACTAGGATTTAAAAATGAAAAATAACCTCTTATAATATTGTCCGAGAGTCCCGCTTACCCTGTCGTGCGAGGTCAGCTGCTTCCGAGTGTGGCACGCTGGTGACATCAATGCCGTTTACTGCCAGGACATAGTCTCCGACCTGCAGGCCTGCCTCCTCCGCTGCTCCATCTGAAGCAGAGCACAACATCTTCATCTTACACCATCCAGCTCTCAACATTTAGAAGGTGGCTCATAACAGCACATGTTACTCAGACTCACACTGTGTGAATTCCTGCATTGCCTATCTGCGTAAGTTTGATAAGGGTTTTAGTTCATAAGTGTAAGTAATTGATTGCAGAGGGCACAATAATAGAGCGGTTACAAGCTGGGGACGTTTTTAACAAAAGCCATCCCAGCTATCGCTCTCAGAACTCAGGCTAACGTTCTGGCGAGGTTCTCTCAAAGTTATGAACAAATGTGCATCCAGTAACATTAAAGGGTAATTCCACCGGTGGAGACATGAATATGTATTGAAAGTGGGTCATATATTTAGTAGAATAGTATCATAAATTTCTAATTTGGATCCTTTTTGGCCAATAAAAGGCAGAAAATGACTTTTTAGTGCTTCTGGATTGTAGACAACAATCCCCATAGTGCATTGCAATGCTCAGCTCCGCAGGCCACTCCCACTACTCCGCCCATCAATGTAGACTAGAGTTGAGCTCCACTCTACGCTACCGCCAGGAAATCATTTCGCACAATGAAATCAGATAATGCGCACTAATATAATATGACGACGTAAGAGCGCCAAGGCCATCAGCCAATGGATTGGTGTGATTCTATATGGGCTTCAGACAATCGGCACACTTGCTCTGACGCGTAATTTTACACGTGAAATGCAGCCAAACCTTGGAGCGTTTTGTCTTCGGCATCTTCATTAATTCCCTCGCTATCAGACATTCCGGGAGTCTCCCGCATATTGATAATGGCACGAGGGAGAAAGCGAGAGACTTTGCGTGTGTGCACCTCATGACACAGAGATTCAGGCACCGAAATGTTCATTCTTATTAGGTCTGGTTATTACCGTTTAAGTCGGAATCGGTTCCCTATTGGCACCGCGAGTCGGTACCCAACCCATAATGCATCCGTCTGCGTATTCAGTGCCTTCGTCCATATTTTCAAAAAGTTTCTGCCGTTGAAATCAAACGCACTGCCACTGATCTGTGATAGGTCTGTTAGCGCATTAGGCCCAACCTCCTATGGGCGGGTTTGAAAGGGTGGGATGCATGTAGTCTTTACAGAAATCCCCTACACTTCCTCCTACAATGATGTAAAATGATGATTTTTGCATCATTATAGGAGGAGGTGAAAAAGGTAAATAGCGGATTTCTCTCCTCTCAGGGGAAAATGAGATTGTTGCATGACCATTCAATAGAATGACTGGATTGCTAACAATGGGAATCTTAATACAAATGGGTGGATTGTCCCTTTAATAGACTGTTTGTTCAAAGTTACCTGGTCCTTAGTGACGTTTGCAAAACTTAGCACAAAAACGTTATTTATAATTTTTTTCTGAAACATTTTAGTTGGACATTCATGTAACATTTTTTTCAAACGTTGCTACTACAGGTTTCAAAACATTCAGAGAACATTCAAAAGTTACATTCCCAAGATGATGAAATAGAAGATTCCCTTGATGTTTTCACCAATTTTTGCAAAATCAAGAAAAAAATGTTTAAAAACATACGTTTTAAACATACAGAGAACATTCAGAATTACAATTTTCATAACTTAATGGTAACATTGGCTAAAAGTTCTTAGAACATTTTTTTTTTTTTTGCGGAATTGAGGCTAAAAGTTGCTCTTAGTGTGGGAATTTAGAAGCAAATCTAGCTATGCGTCACTCCTAATTTTAGAATTTTTTAATTCTAAATAGCTCCTAAACCTAGTTCATCTTCTGTAAAATGACTCAAAAACTATCCAAATATTTGCCAATCCATGTCGCAACAGAGTAAACATATGAATATTACAATGACATCAACCTTTTACTTGTACATGAAACGTACAATTTATATAAAAAGCAAGAATGAAGCTCAATCCCAAGCCTAACCCTCAGCCGGGGACAAGCACATCTTACGAAATTATATTCCAATTCGCCAATTCCATTTTTTGGGTCTTCCTGGAAAGCTAATTTGCCATGATTTTAGGACAACAAACAGGAGAGCTCTTATAGCAATCCCAAAAATCTAGAAAAACTAAAGTACATTTAGGTTACCTTTATGCATTTGGCTGATACATTAATTCACAGTGACAAACAGTGCATTCAAACTATTCCTTTTATAAAATATATAAAAAAAACTAAAACTTACTTGTATCCACTTCAGTAACCACAATGGGTTTGGAGAACTGAATTCGGAAGCCCCAGGGATAATCGCCCATGCCTTTACCGATTTTTACTGTCCGCTCACGAACTGAAATATATAATGCATCATTAAACACTGTAAATAGCATTCTATGATGAGTTTTGGCTAGAACTGGATAGGAACCCACTTGCTGCTGGTCGGGTACAGCTGGTAAGGCAGTGTGGACCGTCATTCTGGTTAACACCATCTCCATGGTAGATCCATGATACTGAGTGAAACGTTTCTGTGTAAAATCCTCTGTCCTCAATATCTCGCATTGACATGTCCACTGAATGAGTGTCCTCAGAATTCATTGTGTCTTAATGACAGAAAAGACAAACAGATTTTTGATCAACATTTTGTTTGTCAATAGTTGTCACAATACATTTCTCGATACACAAGCCAAACTTCAAATATATACCAGAAATCACGGATATCAAACACGTTGGCTGTAAGATAAGTTCAATGTGAACTCAATGGTTACAAAGAAATCAACACCCAAAATGAGATATAGTCCAGTAAAGCTTGCGACCAAAAAGGAGTTTGACATTCCTGACATAAATACTATGGAATGCATTTTATATAAATCAGTTTCCTGCAGAGCATTGCAGGCTGCACAGAAACTTCCTTAGAAATCAATCAGACAATTCACATATGGCAAATTAAATGATACTGTATGTAAGTGATTACCTGATTCATCTGTGATATTGCTAGTTATAGAACTCCCTCCTGCAGAACTGCGCTGTTTGCTCTCCTTGAAGAGCTTGCGTCTCTTTGCCCAGTGGTCTGAATGTTCCTCTGAATCTTTATGAGTGGACTCTGTTGGAGGCCTGAGATGCTCTTTGACCTCTAATGAATCTATTAATGATAAACAAAAGTATAGGCTTCATTACAGGAACAGTGTAAAACCAAAGCCAACAAAACAATTTTTTTGTGGTTTTCATCCGGTTGTCATCTTCAGAACCCAGATTTTGCATTGGACATTAAGTGATGACCCAACATAGTGCCAAATTTGAGAATTATGAATATAGTGATGATTATATGCATGATCTGCATAGGCCCGAATATTATGCAAAATTATTTAAATGATGGATTTAATATGAACATTTACCATTTTGGTGTCTAAATGTCTCAAAAATTGGTTTCAGTACATTGGGGTCATCACAAACCATGAGTGTCCTTCCTGCAATTCAACCTGCATTTTATAAAGTATGGGTCAATTTTTGTACTTTGCATAGTTTTGTTAATGGTTGTTGAGGATGAGAGGGTGTCAATCGACCTGTCCATTTATTTGGCTATTTAGCTTTTGATGTTGATATTATTGGAAGAATGTCCTCTTTCAATTTAATTGAATAACTGAATCTGAACTATGCACTCTTAATTACACTTAAGAGTCGACACAGAACACATTTATTCTGTCTGATGTGACAGGGACTGATCCAGTGTTGTTTCGTTTCATTGCTGGACATGGAATGATTTTCAGTCTTGAATTAATTAAAAATGAAGTCTTGAATTAATTAAAAACGTCTTAATGAACATTGTGATTAAGCTGGATATTTCTGTTACACCAATAAGGAGGACACTTTGCATAATTTAGTGACGCTATAGCATAAAAACATCCCAGGTTACGACTGTAACCCTGGTTCCCTGAGAAGGGGAACGAGACGTGGCGTCATGGAGTCGGTGTTCTGGGGAATGGCTTCTTTGTGACCAGTGTCTGAAGACGTGTACTCAAACACTGATGGCAGTCTATCATGTCACGATCACCCGTGAGTATAAGTAATTTAATGTTAACTTAAACATAGCATATTTTAAATAAATATTTATTATTTATATAATTGTATAAAGTATAAAATAATGATAATTATCTTAAAAGGAGCATACATATGCTTCTGGCTCATGGCTGTGATAGTAGGCGGACATGATATTTCAAAACCACCATCTGTGAGAGAGTGAACAAGTTACTGTACGTTCACACCGCCGCCGACCTGAGCTTCCAAAGCGGCCGGAAGTCATTCATTTTCAATGGAAGCTGGCTTTTCTCAGCTGCAAGGAGTGTCAAATCCATCGGCGTCGCGTTTTGAGCGTCAATCATAAAGTTGAAAGAAGCTCAACTTTATGGTAATGAGCTATGCGGCAAGCAGTGGCAAAACGCCAGCAACCAATTGGAATAAAGACGTCCTTCGTGCTGGTTGATTCCGGAGAAACATACAATGTAAAATTTCGTTCCGATCAAAACATTAGTTCCGAGAAAATGGAAGAGAAGCTAATAATCGCCATTGCTGGGTTTCCTACAGGTTTCGTATCATTTATGACATGACGTTGTTTGCTTATAGGGACCGCATGAGCACAACTTTTATTTGAAATATTTATGAACGCTCGTTTTAAAGCGGGAATGCTCCAGCAGCAGAATGTTGTGACACTTCTATTGTCCCTGCAACGTCAGAGCGTTTAAAGCGTCAACAAGCTTCCCCGTACTTTTTGCCAAGTGTCCTTAACAGGGCGTCCAGAGCTTCTTTACACTCAAGTCGGCGGCGGTGTGAACGTACAGTTACAGTAGCTTTCAATCTCTCTAGCATTCAGAATTTGTATTAAATATTATTATTATTATCATTATTTTTCTACTTTCCGCAACCCAGGAGGAAAGTCCGTATGAGGTTGTGACCCACCGATGGAAACCAATGTTAAGAAAGCATAAATATTTCAGTGCTTACTTTTTGAGGCACTTTGCCGTCGAGACAAATCATTTTGATAAATATTGGGTGTCACACAGGCATCTGCACTTATTTTTTCCAGGGCTTCATTTGTTTTCACTTCTTCAGGCTGCTGGCTGGATGTGTCCATCTGTAAGGTCAGCTCAGAGTTTGCAGAGGTTGTGGTGGTTTGTGCTTGGGATGAACCCTGGAGCTCTTCCACAGCTTCTCTGATGCTGCCCAGGTCCTCTATTGGAGACCCAGCCGGGGACTCAGTCACAGGACTCAACGTATCTTTTGAATATTCCCCTGAAATGTCCTTCTCAAGGAAGAAGCCATATTTGCCATGTAGAAATCTCTGCTCACAGTCCCCAGTGATTATCGTCATTACTGAACCTCTTCGTTTCCTTGGGGCGTCAGCCTCATCTCTGTAGCACATGATGTGATTGACACCGTTGGGTGTTCCTTCATTGATTTTTTCTTCAGAGTTGCTCAGTGAAGGTGGAATAACATGGATAAGAAGTTCCCTTTGATGGCTGTCCATGGTGTCACCGGGTGAAATCGACTCATCCAGCTCCACCATCTCGTCTTCAAAGCCACTTTCATTGACTTCATTCAGCTCAAGTTGGCCCGCTAAAGCACTGTCTTTATCAACAAGCATCAAACCAGCAGCAGCACCATCCAAACCCGGTTGGATCAGCTCTTCGAACTGTGCTGTCCCATTATACTGTTCTCCTCTAAAGAAGACTTCTTCTGGACTCTCATCTGACCTGAATGGGTAGAATGGGTTTTTGATTGTGCTGTAAGCCTTGCATTTGGGATTAAATGAGTCAGGACAAGTTGTAGAGCTTGAGCTTGGTCTATAGCTGCTGCTACTGGAAGATTTACGGCTCCCATGTGGACGAAGTCTTTCGTCTTCGAGGTAGAATTTCCCCCTCCTCTCTGATTGAGAGGGAAGGGACTGCATGAAAAATGAAGACAGTGTACCAGAAGAAAAGGACTCTCTGTATGAGGGAATGCTCTCTCTGGCCTGACTCATATGGTACGCCACTCCTGGGTAAGTCTTTCGTCTTTTGGGTGGTATGTCCATGTAGCCTGTAGGATCCGTTTGGGTTTCAAGGATGGCAATGCTGTTATTGCGCAAACGGGTCTTTCTTTCATGACTGTCGATGAACTTTTTAGTGAAAGACGACCTATTCATTGAAGCTCTGGGATTCATGAATAAACATTCCTGAGGACTCAAGTCGGATAGGTGTTCACAACACCTGTTGTCCACATCCAATGTATTCTGGCATTTACACTCTTTGCACAAGATAACCTGAGATGCTGTATCTGTGAAATTCGTGTTGTCATGGTCAATTAATTGTTGTTTGGGACTGATTTGACACGATGCAACATTTTCGGCAAGAAAATCCATTGCGCTTACATTGTCAGCAAATTCATCAGGGGGAGGGATATCCCATAATGCGTCGTTACTGAGACTGGTAGGCAGTGGCAGCCGTTTCTGACATTGCCACATATCAGAGGGTGATGAACAACAGGAAGATCCATCAACCAGTGTGAAATCAGTGTCAGTCCGGTCACCTGCGTTACCCCAACCAAAGTTATTTTTACAACAGCTTTTACGGCATTCCCCTTCTTCAGGCTCGTCCCACAAGCAATGACTTGTAGAAGCGTGTGTTTCCTCAGCATTTAGCTCTGCAATGCTAATCTTATAGATAACATTCTCTCTGTAATCCGCTCCATGTTGGTTCCATGAATAGACTGTGGGATTTTTTGAATCTTGGTGTTTTTCACTATGGCTTGTAAAATGAGTCTCTTCTATTTTATCTTTATGTTTATGAAGAACAATAGTTCTCTTGATATTTGAATCATCTGATGTCACTACTTCACTGATCTCAAGCCTCATATTTGGGGTCCCTCCCTTGACCTTAGTGGTTGTGACTGCTATCACACTACTAACCGATCCTCTTAGAGAAGCCTCATGGCATTGTTTAAACACAACTCTGGGAGAAGTCAGTCCAAAGTTATCAAAGGTCACAGAATGTGTTATTGTCAACCCTGGATCTCTGTCCACTGGTTCCAAGTCTTTTTTCTCCTTTTCTTCGAAAAAATCTTCACAACTCTCTGGTCTGTTTTCTTTCTCCGTGGTTGTAGTCTCGTTCTCTTTCTCATCTTCGGACTCTGACAATATAATCTCTTTACAGAAAGAATCAGTTTCTCCTTTCTCTGCAGCTTCCTCCCCATGAACCTCAGTGTCCACCATAGTGTGCTTTTGAAAGTTATATGGAGATATGCATTCTGTACAAAATAAAGAAAAGAGGTTAAGATGCATCACACTGTACATGCATTTCTTGATATATTATTTGTAACACAATCCTTTAAAAGGAAAATTCACATTAATTTTACAGTAATAATCATAAAGTAGCTTAAAGTCACTATAAAATCAAAATGGACTATTCTTATATTTTTATTATTATTATGGAATATTGCAGTATTTATTATAAATTATTTATCCATGCACATCTCTCGTCTTCTCTAAAGTGATGTGTTCACAGGCTCGAGGGCGGGCCAACCTGTCACTCACATGATGAGATTCACCAATAGCAAACCACTAACCATCCAATGGTCATCCCCGCCCTACATACTGTACTGTATGTTCTCATTCCAGAAGCCGCTTCACTCAGATTAGAGTTGTCAAAAAGTACCAACTTCGGTACCAAGTCAGTACTGAAATTTTAAAATTGTGACTCTTTGAATGCTGTTGAGCAGAATCGTAATTGTTTTAATTGGCCATTGTACTCACACGCTCATCAGATTTGTCTGTGATTGGCTACAATGATCAGTGCTTCAAAAACATGTTGTAAATATACATAAATGACGCTCTTCACCGAGCATTTGCACAGATACAGACGGGAGTGTTTGAAAGCAGGCCTGTTTGTGCTTTCAAACGCTCTCGCAACCATTTTTTCAAACACTTTCAAACACTTCCGTTGCTCTCAAATCTCCCGTGCGTTGATCATCACAATCACAGACATATCCAATGAGTGAGTGAACACAAAGGCCAATCAGAGACACTTCCGCCACACCTGTCTTGATATCTGGATGTCAATGTGAAAAGCTATAGAAACATTTATTTGAAAATGCCTCAAGGTTTGATATGTATAACGATTTTTATAATGTGTGGCTTAGTTTAATAATACTTAACTGGCCCGTTCACACCAATACCGATAATTTTAAAGATAGATAATGATAACTACATTAGTGTCAGCCCCAGTGCACAATATAATTCTGTTTATTATAAGCATGTGCTGCAGTTTCATCATCTGCCGCTTTAAATGCTTGAGCTCTTATGGATTCTGATTGTTTTTATGGTTTATCAGCTGGAAGAAATTCCTCTGAAAGTGATTCCAACATTATAATTTATCTTTGCCGTTATCATTAAAGTTGTGGTTTGAACCCTGTTATATGAAGTATATATTTCCCATATTGTTATAGTTATAGCAGGTCTTCAATATTGTGAACTGCTATATTCAACATTTTTTATTTTGTATTTCAAAACATTTTGTACAAATTTAAGTTGTTGCATTTGCTTGCATTGTAGAGATTTTTTCCATAGTGCTTTTAAGAGTACCTCTCACCCAGCAGAAACGATCATTGTATATATCATTTTTTTCCAAAGCACGTGTTTGTGTGACGGTGAGTGCTATATAAACAGTCCTAATCCGGCACCTGTTTGCAGGCTGTGCAGCTGGCATGGGTTAAGCGTGACTCAGACGGTGTTTAGAGGATTATTCTCCACACATGGCCTATAGGACCCACATGTAGATCAACACTCACGTTTACTGCTGCTGGAGCTCTTCCTCCTGCGACTGTTTCTCCTCTTCCTCTTACTCATTCTGCTGTGTGACGTGACATCTACAATCCTTTCAACTAAAACATTTAAAAACATGGACCACTTTCATCATTCATGTTATTGTATATTTATAAATACATAGTGTTCATTGTGAATTCTTAAGACTAAAATAATTAATTAATCAAAACTAATGGTAATTTATATGACCTGAAATTGTAAAAATGTACTATTACATGTAGAACTTGTGAAAAAAATGCTAGATTAATAAATGCTTGAAAAATGATTTCTTCATACATTAAAAAATGTTCACAAATTGTATTCAGTAGTTAATTTTAAAAGAGCCGGTTACAAATTCATTTTTTAAAGTCCAAATATTCTGTGTGCTCTCTCAATTAATATAATCATAAAAAGCTGTATGCATTAAAGTCAGTCAATAAACAGACATTTCTTTGTTGGAACAGAAATCGCTCCATTAGTTCATTATTCAGGTACTTTAATTTACGATGAGAGGTGTTATGTGTCTGCCTCACAAAATATTGCAGCAAAGAGACAGCAAAGTCCTAACCTTGCCGTGACAAACACTATACCTCGAAAGAGAAACATCCAAACGAATATATATTCTTACCTTAAGGCAGTCCGGTGTGTTTCCACAGTGGTGTCTTTAGAGAAGTAATGATGAAAAGGGGGTACTTGCACAAACACACAGCATTAGATGATATCAGAGCACTGCTCCAGTTCTTATTGTTCTATTCTTGACATTAAGCCCAGAAGGAGCTTAATTGAACTAATCCCAAGAAGCTCTTCAAACCCAACCCTGTATCAGTGAAACTCCCTTCAGAAAGATAGATAGCCAATAGCTTCTTTCTTTCTTTGTCTTTTTTTGTTGTTGCAAGAAAAAAATATTTCTTTATTTCATAAATAAATAAATGAACAAATGAATCAATCAAAATTGAAATAATTCACTTATCAAATGAATCAATGAATCGACATTCTTCTTCTTCTTCTGCATGTTTCTAGGTTAATTTGATCCCTTTCACCTGTTGTCTTGTTAATTATTTGTTAGTTCATTTTCCCAAGCTGTGTCTCGTTTCTGATTGCCACATAGGTTGTTCTGTTTCTTGTCTATATATTTTTCCTGAGTGTTTGGTTTCTTTTATGTTCTTTGAAAATAAAGTTAAGCTGCTGCAAGAAGATGCTGGATCCTTCCCTGCATGTGACAGAAAGACTGACCTACATTGGATCTAGAAGCAGTTAAAGTGGTCACAATACGTCCAGTAAGTGAGATCCCTGTGCCAACCCAGTGAGTCTCCTGCCAGGATGGCCGCCATGTCAGTCTCCAGCCAATATGGTGGCCACACCTGATTCTTCATCTCAAGATGCCTACCATTCCAAAATCCTGTCCCAAGATGGCCACCATTCTAGAGTCTCGTTCCAAGATGGCCGCCGCCGTTCCAGATCTCATCCCAAGATGACTAGACATTGTTTTCGCTTTACAGCAGCTCTAGAATATTGATTCACTGCATTCACTTGATGCACAAAACCTCGAAAAATGTAGAATTTTTATTTTCTTTGTGCAAACTTCAAAAAACGCAAACCTGTGAAAACACTGATGGTGTGAAAATGCTTAAAACGTTTTTATTCTATAGGTATGCATGAAAATTAACCTATTAACAAATTACTTGTGTGGCCTTTAAAATGTATAATACAAAATTATTTATTGCTTCCACATAGCCATGTGAACTGGAATTATTTTGACAAAGTTTTATCTATACGGAAGTAAATGGTAGGAGGTTTGGATCCGGGGCCTCCTCCTAAACGGCGCCGTAGAGCCAGTCGCAGGCAGGTCATCCTGCCTGTCCAGGCCACCGCCAAGAAGGGCGGCAAAGCCAGAGGCAAGTGGCCCCAGGAAAGACAACCCAGAGATGGATGGAACTGTTCTTTAGGAGACGGTGGCCTCACCGCTCCCTTCCCCAGAAGAGGGCCGGGAGGGAAAATTTTATGTTCCGCCGCTGGCCTCAAAACCAGCTGTACCCACATTTTCAATGAAAGAGCAGTTTCTACCATCTCTGGGTCCGAAGAGGACTCAGAGAGCGGAGAGGGAACAAAATCATTACCACTCTCATCCTCTTCTGTCGCCAGTCGACAGCAGTGTACAGTCCAAGCTGCCTCCCACACCTCCTGCCCCATGGAACCAGGTAAGCGCTTCACAGCACACTCAAGACCCCGCTGTGGGCCACCTCCCAGAGAGAGCCTCCCCAGCCAGGTCCCTGTGTTCCACCTTGCTGCCCCACTCCGGGTACACCTACGATCCCGTTGGTCCCGCTTGCACGGTCTCTGAGAGCCTGGTTAGTGCTCCCCAGTCCGTCTCGCTGGCTCATCCGGACCATCAGGCTCGGCTATGCGATTCAGTTCGCCTGGCGTCCCCCCAAGTTTCGGGCCATCCACTCCAATACAGCGCGATCAAGCCGGTCCCTCCATCCGATATGAGGTCAGGGCACTACAGTCTCTACTTCATTGTACCCAAAAAAGGTGGTGAGTTACGACCAATCTTGGACCAGCGAGTTGAATCGGAGCCTCCACAAGCTACCATTCAAAATGCTCAGGCAGAAACGCATTTTCAAATGTATCCGTCCCCAAGATTGATTTGCAGCGATTGACCTGAAGGATGAGTACTTTCATGTCTCGATTCCTCGACACCATTCCGGCCGTTCCTGCACTTTGCGTTTGAGGGTCAAGCATATCAGTACAAGGTCCTACCCTTCAGGCTGTCCCTGTCCCCTCGTGTCTTCACGAAAGTCACTGAGGGGGCCCTTGTTTCCATAAGAGAACAGGGCATTCCCATCCTCAACTATCTTGATGACTGGCACAGACTAGCACACTCTCGAGATCAGGTATGCTACCACAGGGACCTCATGCTCAGGCACCCCAGCCAGCTGGGTCTTCAGGTCAACTGGGAAAAGAGCAAACTCACCCCCATGCAAAGGATCTCTTTTCTCGGTATGGAGTTGGATTCGGTCGCACAGACAGCCCGCCTCACAGAGCAGTGCGCTCAGTTTTTGCTGAACTGCTTGAAGGCAGGACGGCGGTCTCACTGAATCACTGGCTTCACGGCCGAGTCCCGAGATGGGTGTGGCATCACGGCACTCACTGGGTGGAAATCACACCGGCCTGCCGTCAGACCTTTACCCCGTCGTCAGATCCCTCGTTCCTTTGGGCAGGAGTCCCCTTGGAACAGGTATCCAGGCATGATGTGGTGTTCACAGATGGCTCTGCCACCAGATGGGGTGCCACGTAGAACAGGCATGCAGTACCAGGGTGTGGACGGACCCTCATCTGCATTGGCACATCAATTGCCTCGAGTTGCTGGCAGTACATCTCTGAGCCACTTGAAAAGGCCGCTACAGGACAGGGACCTGCTGGTCCGCACAGACAACACTGCGACAGTTGCGTACATCGACCGACAAGGTGGTCTACACTTCCGTTACATCCCGCAACTCGCCCGCCATCTCCTCCTCTGGAGTCAGAAGCATCTGAGGTTGCTTCGAGCCATGTATGTCCCCGGTGTGCTCAACCATGTGGCCGACGAGCTATCACGAGCAGTGCTTCCGGGAGAATGGCGACTCCATCCCCAGGCGGTTCAGCTGATCTGGAGAGAGTTCGGGGAGGCTCAGGCAGACCTGTTTGCCTCCTCAGAGACCTCCCACTGCTAGCTGTTTTTCTCCCTGACCAAGGGAACACTTGGCACGGATGCACTGGCACACAGCTGGCCCTGGGGCCATCGCAAATATGACTTACCCTGGAGGTACTTAACACCATCACTTTAGCACGGCGCCGTCCACGAGATGTGTCTACGCCCTGAAGTGGAACCTGTGTCGAGTGGTGTTCTTCTCGCCAGGAGGACCCCTGAAGATGTTCGATAGGGTCTGTGCTTTCCTTTTTGCAGATTTATCATGTACACTAGATAGTGTTACATTAAGCACCAACACTTCAAATAATTATATTTGAAACTAGACATCTCAGTAATTCTGAATGTGCAGATATTGATATAAATTACAGCAACACAGGATGTGTTAGTTTGGGTGTTATGGATCTATTGTTTACTTCCCAACTAAGTTATACATATGCACACGTACATTTTTGGGGATGTTTTTTTATTTTTATTTACCACAATTGCTCAATTACACCATTAGGTTGCTTATGAAATAATACCATTTTAAAAAAAGAAAACACTTTAATGATGATCAATTAAATATGACTTGTTTCTGGAGTTTGACAAGTGATATATATTTATTGCTTTTCCCCTTCCACACAATGAAACCCAGATTTTTGGTGTACCCATACAATAGATAAATAATGTCACAAAAGTAACAATACTGTTCACAAGTGGGAACAGTAAATGAAACAACATAAATGCATTGTGACCATATAATGTGTCGGTAAAATAGTGACATGTGAAGGCCAAGTATGGTAACCCATACTCAGAATTATCATCTGCATTACACCCATCCAAGTTATTGCACACCGATGAGGAGCAGAGTAGTGATAACACAGAAGTACACACACACACACACACACACACCACTCAAATAATGTTCTCTCTAGACCACAGCAACTTTAAAATAATATAATCATTGCTGACAAGATTTATATTTATTATTTTTAACAATGTTTTAAAGATTAATTAAACCTTTTCAATACATCTATTTATTTGTCTTAGGAGTCCACTACAAGATAAAGACTTATTATATTGGTTTTGTCAACTTTAAACTATAATATAAACACAGATACCAGAACGACCTGTTGAAAAATTGTCTGACTTCTTTAATGAAATATTTTTGCAAACTCTAAATGATATCTCACCCCAATATCCCTATTTAATAGCAAACACGTTGAAGATTAGCTGACAGAAAGTTAATTCATTAAGTGATAAGCTGTTTTTAAGCTGTTTCACGAGTTCACAGTTACAAATAATCAGATGAAGTAGGCGTATTAGGTGTGCCGTCTGAGCTCGGAAACTGGCCCAAACCCAGAGTACTCCTCCTGCATCCCAGGCTGGGACAGGAGCCAGCCGAGAGTGAGGAGTGTATGTATAAATAGGCCTTCTCTCGTGAGGAGAGGATTAGATGGTCAGGTAGGGCAAGAAGTCTGTAGACTTCATTGGGTTCAATGCACTTTTGATCATCAGGCATGGTGGAAAGTGTACACTCTGACTAAACAAACTGGCAAAAAACAGAATGACAGGCCTAACGTGGCTAGACAGTTTATCAGCTAAAAAGTGGATTGATCTGTCATTCAATGTTCTTATCAGATAACTTGCTGAGGCAGTGTGGTGTTAAGTGTTGACTTGCTTGGTGAAAGACAATGGTCTGGAACACGGTGGGACTAAAGAGGCCAGATTACATAAAAAATATGCAGAAGGGAGGGCTGGATTGCCAGCATCCAGACTTATTTATTTATTTTTAATTTTTTGAAAATGATAATTAAAAGTTTGCTTAATCAATTTAATTTTTAAGTTTTAATCAATCTGTCAAATGTTTTGATAAATGATTAAGAAGGGGGAAATTACGGATCTAAGAATTCTTACAGCAACCTGTGTGTGCTTTCAAGAGTGCAGAATAGCTACAATATAGCCTACTCCATTTACTCCAAATACTCCAAAACGTAATAAAATTGACTGAATCTGAGAGCTGAGATTTTTTATATCATAACTAACCTGCTCCGTCTAGTCTGTCGCGGTCTGTCGGTCTCCGTGTCCTCTTTGCTTTGCGAGTTTTCTGTGCGTGACAAAATTGATGTGTGGTGTGACACTGGATTTCCACC